AAATCAATAACGATCAACAAAATTAAATACAAATATAAAACTTATTGCTTGATGCCGCAAGTTAATATGTAGTAAAAGTGGCACAAAAATGAATATTTTGTAATTTTATTCTAATGATATCAAAGAAGCAATATTGCAATATTGCAATATTGCAATAACAACGTCTATAGCTATAGCTATAGCAATAGCAATAGCTATATAGCTATATAGCTATATAGCTATTTTATAAGATTCAACTACGAAGTTCACATGGTGCATTCCCAAAAAGATGAAAATCTGCATGAAGATCAGAGGACAAACTACAAATTAAGCGAAAAAGTGAATGAATAAGGAAGGTCATGCAGGATGATCACCACTTCAAAATCATACTATCGCAAATAAAATAGAAAAAAAAATATAATTGAACATATTCAATGAAACATCCGGTCCGATATCGGATTGTCATTCTTTAAAATGAATGCTGTCATATGGTTAAAAAAGACCGTACTTTAAGCCAAACTTGATAAAGTTTAGGAAATTTCCTATTGATTATCTTGAATAACCAAAATTTTTAATTTCGTATGATTCTGAATTACGTCTATCAATGGATAAAAAAAATACTTTCAGAAACTTAATTCCCCTGAAATGATCCAATAGCAAGTGTTCATCTTTCTTCTTATTCACAATCCATTTTTTTCTCATTCAATCTAACAACGTGATTATTCCAAATTTCTTATATAAATAAGAAAGAAAAGTGCTTATTAAAAATTATTAAAATTATTTTAAAAAACACATTAAACTTACTATGCGACGTCCTATTTCTTTCACTTATATTATCATCGTAACCATCTGTAGCTTAATGAATATCATAGCTTTGATGCCAGCCACTAAAGGTAAAAAGCTCTGAAATATTTATTAGTTCCAAATACAGTGATTTAATTTATTTAATAATATATATAGCATATGAGGTTCTACTTAGGAATTGGGGTGGTCAAGATACTGGTAATTTTATCTGATTTTATTGAGCTAAATTCCATGAGTGATTTGATATTATATATGTATATTCCTTTTGATTTTAATTTAATTTTATTTATGTACAGATACATGTTGTGTTTGGCAGGAAGATTATCTACACAACTTCATAACTTATATACCTCCAAATGCGGAACATAATAATTTATTTTATTGTTTCAGTTGTGGGACCTTCGATGGTATAGGTGAACACGGTGCGGATTTAAGAAATGGTATTCTTACTTATCATACGTTAGATAATACTACAACATACTGGGTTGATATGCACGTCATTAATGATGGTCCGAGTTCAAATAAAGGTGGTTATAACAAAGATACCTGTTTCCACGTATTTGGTGATCTAGGCGAAGCAACTCTTGATGAAGCACCTTACGATGAATGTGAAAAAATCAGAGATTCAAAATAAGACCGCATATCTTTACAAAAACAATGCATCAATCATTGGTCTTGTATAATGTACTTTGCAGATACTAATTATATCATGAAAAAAAATACTCTTCAATATCAATATTTATTAAAAAATAATATGTATCCTGGGCTACGTCCCAAACATTCCCAGTAAATAGTCATCGTTTATAATTTATATTGTATTCATTTGGAATTTATGTATATTGTTAATTTTATATACTAAATTTGAGCCACTTAATAAAATTTAAAAAAATTATTTTTTAATAATGTACTATCCGGCCTAAATTTACGATCATATGCCATCACTAGCGTGATAAATAGCAAATTTTTTAAAAAAAACTTTTCAAAACTTACTTTTCAAGCCGAGTTCTAAATACTTGTACTGAAGCCTAAAGGGCCTCCAAAAAATTAAATCAAAAAACAAAAAACTGAAAAAATAATTAAACTTATACAATTATCATTTTCTTTAAAAATGGCATATATTACTAATCCTTGAAATTGTCAAATTTGTCTATGAAAATGATCACATTAGTAACGTTCTTTTATAAATAAAAAATATATATAAAATTTCATTACGAAACTTACCATTTCGAAGTTTTGGAAATCTTGGAGTATACTGACGCTAAGAGCAGACTGCAATAGATACTATTTTCTATTCCTAAGTGTGCAAGAAACTGACTGCGACATATATGGAAGCATCTAGAATTTGATTCGTAAATCGGTTGTAACCAGTTTATGTGAAACTCAATTTAAAATGGCGGATTAAACTGGTTGGTATTTTATTGGGCTTTAAAAATCAAAACCTCTAGGGAAGCGCTATTATGATCAACATGTAAGTTCTTTCGCAATAGGATAAAATGAGTATTATCCTGGATATTTATAAATTGACTTTACTAAACCGCTTTTTTGTGTGTTATTACAATATCTGACTACCTAAAAATGCTCAGCGTCCAAAGCTGCACTTGTATTGTAATAATTTAATAATTTAGACTATCAAAATTGGAAAAAAATTAACATTCCTTTGTAACGCTTAGATCAACGAGAGATTACAAACAATACCGTATATTATTTCTAGTGATAATATGTTTGAATGTGAAAAAAGACTGCTTTCAACTACCAAGTGCTAATAAAATGTCCGATGCATGTTCAGAAATGGCGTTTTCATTACATATCCGAACATTTTCTAGAATATTTAACTTTCTAAGCGAGCTTTCTTTTTTTTTTTAAAAAAAAAGATATTGCCTTTTCTGTTTTAGCTAAATTTCATGGTTATTGGTTGATGTTCGGCGGCGGTATAATACAAAATGATTAACGGAGTTTATCAAATGATACACAAAAAGTTGACAATCATTTAGGGAAAAGGCTTATCATGTAAACCATGCAATTCAAAATTAGTTAAAAAATAAAAGTAACTTAAAAAAACCGAACGTTCCAGACAAGTGATCAATTTTCTAAAAATTTTATAGATAAAGACTAAAGTAATTCCCCATTTACTGTGCATTAATACTTTACAGAAACTCCAAGATCGTAACGATGGCTTAATGCGCAGTAACTGCGTTATAAATACAGTACATAATGACCACATTATGTAATCGTAAAGAAATTACATATATGCAGTTACTGCGCATTAAGCCATCGCTACGATCTTGAAGTTTCTGTAAAGTATACTGTATATCACGATTACCTGTTAAACCAATATTGACAGAGAAACTTCTATAATTATTTTTAATTCTTAACAAATAAAAACTATAAGAGTATTGCCGAAATGTAACAGCCAACATAATTTCTTGGTATTCTATTTGTACAAAGAATTTTTATAATAGTAGCAAAGAAAATTAATTGATATAACAGTAGTGATTACCAGGTTCGAAAGCATACAAACAAAAAAATAAAAAAAGAATGGAATAAATCAAAAAAACAATCAAATAGGGTATTAGACTTTGTATAATCTTAGTAATTGTAATGTAATGTAATTTTTAATATAAAAGAGAGAAGAATTAACAATTCTTCTCCTGAGAATTGCTGTTTAATATTTTTTATTCATAAAATGTTGAATAAATCCAATCCCGCGGTAATTAATAAATTATACGTTATTTAGTAGTACTATAAAGTATTGTTATATTTTATTAATCTTATATTACTTTTCTCTATAAATACTTAAGTCACAGAAGGTGGAAGTCGCCCAGTAAGCCATCTGATAAGTGGAATAAATGTAAATATAATGTTATTTTATTTTTGTTTCGTAAAAAGTGCTTTAAATTAACTAAATCTTCTTACAGTTCAGAAAATCATAGATTTTTAGTATTTGAATTCTCTCCAAACAAGGCCACCAGTACTGGTTGATACACAGCGTGTAGGCGCGATACTTGTCACAATCGTGATGAAATGAACTTTATTTTTTCCTCTTTTTTAATCTTTTCCTTGAAAGCTCAAAAAATCTAAATTTTGAACTTAATTTTCGTGGTTTTAAGTGATGTCGCATGAGTCATACGAAATGAAAGTTTGGTTATAAGCAGTTTTCAAAAGGAAATTTGTTTGCTGGTCAATGATTCGGGGGATTTGGAAATTTGGGATGGGATGGAATGGGCCATTTATTTGGGCGGAAAGTATAGGTAGCACGCACGGTAATTTTTTGATTATATGAAACCGTTTCTGATATGGATTCCCTGTATACTTTCTCATGATTTTAACGAAATATACTTTTAATTTTACCAACAAATATCTTCAATAATTCGAGAATAGGCAACTGATTTGTAAATTCAAATGATTCTGATGTTTTGATTTTGTTTCAATTCTACCGATAGTTTGTTCTATTGTTGTATTTGCATAATATTCAAAAGCAAATCTCCACTTAAAAGGTTAATGCGAGTCTTATATTTGCCCTATAAGAAATATGGATATGGAAAGAATACGTTTTGTATATATTTTATGTACGTTTCTATAGTTTTCGTATACAAATTCTGTATATTTAATAAGCAATTCATTTTTGAACATTTTTTAAAAAAACTAATGTATACGAAATGTATACGGAAAAAATTAATCATACGGAATGTATACGGAATTTTTAAACTTAATATTTTTAGAAAATAATTTTACAAAAATCTCGTATTATAACACGAGATCACGTGATTGTTTATTGTTTTGTTATGATACGTTTTTTGTTTTTTATATAAACCCTTACTTTGATGAGATTGATCTTCTGATCTTCCTTTTTGTCTTTCCTTTTCTCTTATCTTATTTTTGTTATTTTTTCTAAATTTTTCTTCTTCGTTACCCCATTTTAAAAAAAATTTTTTTTTTGTACCTCACTTTAAAAAATTTTTTTTTCGTCACTCTCCTTTGAAAAAAAATTTTTTTTCATCACTCCCTTAAAAAAAAATTTTTCTTTTATTTCCCACTCTCTTTTTTTTTTAAAAAAAAATTTCTTCTTTCTATTTCTATTTCCTCTTTATAAAAAAATTTTTATTTTTCTAACTTTGACGTCCTCCCTTTAAAAAAAAATTTTTTTTTAACTTTCCTAACTTCGTTATCCCTCTTTTTTAAAAAATATTTTTTTTGGTTTATTCTTTATTTCCCTTTCTTCTTTATTTATATTTAATTTCATAGGCCAGTAGATTTTTTTTGTGAGAATATTCAGTTTCTTTTTTCTTTTTTGTAGATCAGTTTGGGAGTCCTTTTCTTTTTGTAGGATGATTCAGGATTTTTTTCTTTTTTTAGGTCAGTTCAAATTTTCTTGTTTTTTTGTAAGTTGGGTTCAGATTCTTTTCTTTTTGTAGGTTGTTTCAGTTTTGTTGCTTCAGAGTCTTCTTTTTTTGTAGGTCAGTTTTGGATTTATTTTGTTGTTTTGGTTTCTTTTTCATCAGATGCTTCATAATTCTTTTCATTTATATAGGTCAGACATTCTGGAGTTCTCTTTCTTTTTTTGTAGGAATACTGACCTTTGGTGACTTGGACGATTGCAGATACTATATGAAGGGGGTTTTTGTTTCCAATTAAGTTAGACGTTCTTATGTTTCTTTTGTTTCTTTTTTTTAGGTTGTTTGACTCCAAATGAACCTGAACTTATAGATAATTTTGGTTGCAATAGGTGGTTTTAATAAGGAGGGAATTTTCATAATGTATTTGTATTTTGTTTATTTTTTATTTTTTATTTAATTTAATAAAGTAAAATTAGATTTATGTAAATATAATTATAGTAAACTGTAATACAAATAGTAAATTCAGTGACCAAATCGTATAAATTTCGTGATAAAATCAGTGATCAAATCATGTAAATTCCATATGAATTCCGTGCAAATTCCGTATCCAAACCATATTTTTAGTGATACGGAATTGTGCATTTTTCCGTATCCTATTATGATACGTTATTTCTAAGGAAAAAAATCGTATAAAAACTTTATAAAAAACGTATCCAATTTTTTTATAGGGTTGGAGTATTACTATTCGCTTTATTATAATTTCAAATAGCCAATATTGATAAGAGTACTGATATAAATGCTTTTTAACTGTTACTGTTTAAACTCATTCCAGAATCTAAACTATCGATATTATTATAACTATTACCATCAGCTTACCTCAATGACCAATATTGAGATACAGAACTGCTGGTATAAACTCCATCATAATTGTTACCCAAGCTTGAAGCTGACTTTAAATGAACTATTTTATATTTGATTCCTTTTATCAAGTTAAAATCTTTTGTGGTTTGCGTCAGTTAACATTAATAAAAAGCTGTTTGGAGAGTCTATTAATCTTCCGTAACGTGAAATTACAACAAAAACAAACAATAATTTTTATTTTTTTTGTCAATGAATAATGTAAATTATTCGAACAAGATTACAAACTAAAGTAATGAAAATACTTTTAGAAAAAATATAAAAATTATGTCTGTATTAGATCAATCAAACTGTTGTTTTATTTAACAGTGCGTCCTTAATTTATTCGGGAACGAAGAATTAAAAATCAACATAAAGTCTGATCGTTAAGAGGCAATTAATATATTTGCTTTATTTAATAATACAATAATGGCATTATTAAAGAAAGTATTTATCATAATTTATTGTCAAGCTCAAGATAAAAATGAATTAAATGAGCAGCAGTGGCAATCCAAAAAAAGCGAGAAATTTAAACAATTATGAGGTCTGATTTTTCAAGTCAATATAAAGAATATAAATTGACTGTGAAACCATTAACTTGCCAGGAAAGTCAGTATTTTTGAAGACAACTTCATTATGATATTCATCAGGTTCATTCAGGTTATTGAGACATTTTAACCTACTTGGTAAAGAGAAATAATAAAAATACAATTAAAGGTTAACGGCTCACAGTTAAAATAATTGGTACATAATCATAATCACTATTAACATTAGCTTTTATGTTTCACCAAATTCGTGAGAAATGCTTGTATTCCTTTTTTGAATAAAGTTATAAACACAGCATCCAACTAATTAACGGAAATGCAAACATTATACATAGTATGTTAGTGAATCTTTTAAACACTTTATTTTTATAACTGTATTGCAATTATTTTTTATCAAAGAAACATTCAAGTATTTCCAAAAAGAGATTGTTCATTCGTTCACTTTTCCTTAAAATATGTCGATTCCTGATAATGTAAGTTCAAGAAAATCGATAAAAACAGATGTATAAAATTCTATTTTATAATAATTTTTATTCAAAAATTATATACATATAAAATAATTTTTTAGCCATAAATTCTAGTTTGATTAAACGTAAACGATCTGAATGATCTGAAAGCGAAAGAATGAGAATCTTGATTAATAAGGAATAATAATAACAGAATTTCGTCGATTTTAGCCCGGGCGCAAATGTCACCACTACTACCACAGTGGTAATACTGTTACTACCACTACAATTATATCTGAGCCTAAATCCCTATAAAAACGTAATACTATGTCTGAAACTAATACACCTGCTTCTACTTCCACTTCAAATATCGACCATCTTTTATGAGAGAATTAGAACTTGATGTTTTCTTCTGACATCATCGAATGGCATTAGAAGTAGGGGTACAACATCGGCTTCATAATACTAGTCGGTATAAAGATGTCAAAAACCCGAGGATATTGTTGATCATGATCGGAAAAAAGAATCCTATGTCAGCTTAATGGAATTTATCTTCTTGAAGTATGGTATGATGAGAATCTGAAAATCGCGATTCCTCAGAAGATATATAAATTTGAAGAGTGTATTGATGGCTTATACAATAATCATGTGGCTAGTACCTGAATTTGTAATTGCATGTGGCTATATGATAAAATAAATTATGTTTTCAAAAAGACTCGCTAAATAGATCACCTGAAATACGCAGTACTATATCAGAAAAATTCTTGCCGGCCTGTCCATTCACTCTGTTCAAATATATATTTGCAGATATGGTTACCTATACAGATATTTTTTTCCTAAAACTGAAGCGAACAAACAGTACATTGAATAATTCCCATTGTGCATAAAAACTTTAACGATTATATCGATCAGTGAAGCAAACTCATCTGAGCTTTAAATATTAAGACAACGCGTTTACTATAATCTTGAGGCTGAGTTGCTGAGAATGCAAAGTCGCTCATAGAAGAATATGCCGAAAATGAGGCAGATATGGTAAATTTAAAACTGGTTTGTAATATCCAATCCTTTTTGAGCGTATTGAGGCTATAATACATAAGCTTGAGGAACAACAAGACTAATTATAGAATAATACACAAAGAAATCAGAATCAAAGAAAAATCACAAATTCCAGACTAGATACATCCAGACAAATGCATCTTTTTGCCGATCGCGATTAACGATATCTCTGTATGGTACGACGAAAAACCTGAAATCGTTATTCCTAAAGGATAATACAAAATATTAAGGAGTATGTTTGTGTAGCTGCCAAAATAAAAGGTGATATTCCTTCCCTCCTTCAATTATTTTGCAAGACAATTTGGCTGTAAATCTGTAAAGTTTCGATCTCTTGTAATCAATAACCTTATTACACAATACACATTCAAAGAGATATTTAATTTTTTCGCATGTTCTATATGTTAGCGTTAACAGTCATCCGGAACACCTGAAAAAATTATGCAGTTCGATATCGGAAAACTTCTTGCTGAAAGTATAGGTAATTTTTTTATAAAAGTTTTTTATTTAGTAGATTTTTCATATTTCAAATTTTAATACAGCAAATTATTGAGAGGAAAAAAAATATATAGATTATTGTGAAAAAAAAAGTACAGCAAATTATTGCGGATGTTCACTTCCTGAATCTTGTCCACCATTTCTACTAATAAGTTGTTGCCCTTCTACCTGCCCACTCGAACTACTAAATACGTTTTCAAAGCTCTAATTAAAGCTCCGAACGGTTCGGGCTAAACCGGGGAACCGATCCGAAACCGGCTCAAAATTCGGTTCGGTTCGGTTCGGGTATTAGAACCGAAAAACCGGCGGTTCGGTTCGGTTTAATCCGATTTTTTATAAAAATGCGAAAAATCGAATAGCCAGCCATCTAGTGATC